GATCCACTATTCCTGTCTGAAAATAACCGCGTTGATCGTTAATGGTTTTCAGCTGCCCTTGTTCCGAAACACAGACGTGATCGAGCAGCTATTATGAAGAGCATCGGGCCGTTCTGTTTTTTTGCCTTCTATTTCCTCAAATCCCATGTTCACGTATGGTGAGAGATTAATTTCCAATGATGTGATAAACAATTGTGTTACGTATGTTGCACACACTTTCTCTTTTTTATTGTGTTTTGAAAACAAACCCACTTGGCATACACGTTGCAAAACTTGGTTTACGGTTTCGGCATATAGTCGCTATTTGACCGTGAACATTGAAAACAGTTGCGGTTAATTACTATAGCTCACGTATCCTCAATGCTTTCCTCTGTCGCTTGCTCTCGCCCCATCCCGCAACCATACGCGTACAAACGCACGCACTCGACTGCACATGTATAGCACATAATATGTTGAGTAGATTCCAAACCCGGTTGCAAATGGTACGTGAGCAACGGGCGGGCGATTTGTCTGATTGTGAACAATTGGTTGACCAACTGGAAAAGGCCCAGACTAAATACGTGGATTGGTTCACACAGCTTAGTCAGGTGCAACAGGGCTTAGCCAATGTGTCAAATATGCTGGAAAATCCACAGTCCGATCTGTGGGGAGTGAGTTTGGATATCTCAAAGGACCGTGGTGGACTGGATGATCAGATACGTCAATTGGCTGCCCTGGAACAGGACTTAATCGATCGGCTCCAACCTGGGTTGCAACAACTGTGCGATGAAGTTCACCAGGTCGGGGCTAATATCCATGGTCTGGAAACGACACAGGCTGAATTGAATGATCTGGTGGAAGTAGTTCGACACAAATTACACTGTTTGCATTTGATTCGAGGACATTTGAAAGATCTGGTTGAACGCAGTCGTTACGAACTGGACGAACTACAAAAAGTAACCGCAAAGCTGACTGAGTTTACGTTTCACGTGACAAAAGCCGACACCCCGTGGACCGAGTCTGACGTGGAGCAAGATGTGCTAGGTGTACTGCACCGTTTCGCTCAGGATTTGAGTCACCGAGAAACGCTGGTCACACACCTGTTGGACGAGTTGGATCAGGTGGTCGGGGCAAAAGCGGTTGGACCTGGGTTCGATAGATTGGATCGACGTCAAGGCCGTTCACGAAACGGAAAGCAAATCGAACAGCTGGACAATGAGCTACGAACAACATGGAAATATGTGAGCGGCGAATTGTTGGTCAACGCAGGCGAGACCAGTGTAAGTTTGAACGATTTTTCTTGTTGCCATATTAGTTTCGCACTCCTTGGTGATCATAATCTCGCAAGTTGATGTTGTCAACCTTCCCACCTCTTGGATGGCATTTGCTTCAATTAGATTAAAACCGCAATATCCTGGCACAAGAATACGATTGGTTTTGCTCAAGAGTGTGCGTATTTGGATTTGCTGGTGCATGTGTCGGAACCGCTAGAGGGCATTTATTGCATTTATTTTGAGGATGTGAAAAGGACAAAGAGTGGAATAATGTCAATTTGTGAAGAACTGGATTTACACTAGCCGCTCGATTTGGCAGATCTGTCTGATCGGTTCACTCAGAGTTCTCAGTAACGAGGAACGCCTCTGCTCTGTGTCGTTTCTTATAGGATGAAAAAGTTCTCTTTGACACCGCTACTCTATCAGAGTTGACTATACCCCATCTTCACTGATGGCATGTAGAGTCATTGTTGAATCAGGTTCAAGACGCTTAACATTTGCTAGTATTGCTTATTTCATGTGGCCACCCACAGAGAAAGCGTGAGCTATCAGGGGTGTAATTCAGATTGAAGGGTTGCCACTGCCAATTCCGGAGGTTCGCGGTTCGAGTCCGGCTGATGAGTTTCAACACGGATTAAACAGATGTCTGGTAGGTTTTGTTGACCTTCCCACATAAATTCGCAAAATTTTAGAGTCTTTGAACCCGTGGATGTTGCTCTTTTATCCGAATGGGCAACCAAAACCGACGCACGAAAGAGCATGGTTAATGGTTGTAAAGCTGAAACTGAAATCTGTTATCATCCATACGTTTCTTCCATCGGTTAGTGTCTTTCGGGTGAATATGGTTAGTTACTGTTCGCAAATTATTGAACAAATTGCAATCAAAAGATCGTCTTTGGGAGGGTATCTTTCAGATAGATTAGTTTTGAACAGAGCATATTCATTGCTGCATGGATCATTCTTAGATTAAAAAGACCGACGCGACGAAAACCATCAGAATTGTTGAGACGGTGGGATATAGTTGCCGCTCACTGTCAATCTGTCTTTTTTACCTTTCGGTGTATAGATTCGCGTGCGAAATCCCTCTCATGAGTTAGATAATTGCCTTCGGTTGCGCACCGCATACATTTCAGCTGACAAACAAGTCGATGTAGTCACATGAAGCAAACAGGTTGTTCAATTAGCTAAAGAAAACTTTCGTACTGCCAAACCATAAAACGAACCTGATACCGCAGAACAAAGGATCATGCTGGAAGCACTATATAACACATTCATCTTTTGAACGCCTTTGGTCTACGATCCGTAATGATTCATTTGATCTCTACATGTTCGTATTGGTGATTGTTCTGCCGCACAAATGATCTGTGTTTCTGATAGTGTTTCTTATATGTTTATCGCGACTGACTGTTTTTCTCTTCCGTTCCTTCCTCTTCATTCTCTTTTGTAACCCTTAAATAACCTCTGTTTCTCTCTATTAGGCGTTGGACATTGTACTACGCCTTTTCCTATCGAGCTTTAGCCAAAACCAACAATCCTTTAACTTTGACCCACATTCCTTTAGTCCAAACCCGCAATGGTTTGGCCTCGACGCGCAAACTTTAGTCATACCACTGTAGACGAGACAGATCAAACCGTATTGGAGTATTCTAAGGTGAAAGAATGTTGCCCGTATCGTCAAACCATTTGACACATCTCGTACAGCTTCATTATTTCCGTATAACATGCGATACTTCTGTTATTAAAATCTCAAATGTAACACAAACGGTACGTTGTTTTACATTTACAAGCCCTGAAATAAATCAAAACGTGATACCACAATAAAGTAAATGCTCATCGTTCCGTGTCTTCACTTAAGGTGAACTCTATTCATGAGAGATGGATACAATAACATGCCGAGGATAATAAACACTGGTCACAAAGATACGCTCCCATTACTATCATTGTTTATTAACGCTGCAATATTTTATATATTTCTACACTCGCTTTTAACTTCCCCGAATTCGGTTGAATCCATCCACTCGGAGCACATTATCATTAGATTAGACATCTGACTGACAAGAAATTACTTTGTCTGGTTTCACTTCAATTCCCCCTTGGAAACAGTTTTATATAACGCCTTCAAATAGTCTGTGATGCCCTTCCTTATCCTCAATAAAAGGTAGTATATCTGCTTTGCACAATACATCCGTTAAATCATCCACCACTGTGAGGATTCGCTTCTGAAAACATTCAAGGATTGAACCAAACTGTAGTCTTCTCTAAAGATATCGCCCCTAGGTGGTTTGGTAACTTGACACATCGTCCAGTTCAAAATACTAAAAATCAGAAACCAACTCCACTTCAGTGAGGTGTCATGCAGCAGACAACTCCCGGTAGTATATATATCGTCAAAAATGGGTAGTGTGTAAGCAAGCATAGAAATCGTATGAATGTGCACTCCACTTCAAGGCTACGACAAAAATACAGAGGGACTCACTAGATTGCTGCATCTCCTGATCGAAAACAGAGCGCTTGCACGTTTTTTCCATTCAACGGGATAGTACCTCTCCAACTTCGTTATGGCTACTTGTTAATTTCCTCTGTCCTGATCAGCTTTGTACGCAAATTCGTTTATTGCTCACAAAGCAACCTGACCAACAGTATGACGAAACAAGGCTAACCAAATGTAGCACAATCTGCCGTCGAAGTATGACGGAGGCTCAGGCGTTATTGGCAACTGGGATCAAAATTATTTCACGGTTGTTTGCGCAATCCTTTCCTAAAAAGTGGAACCACCAGTGGCTCGGTCCAAGATGATGGAATACGCTCTTGTGACCAGATGTTACGTATTAGATCAGTGATGGAATGTACGAAATCATATCCCCTCCCCATCTTGTAAAAGTAGGAGGAAGCCTGTCAGGTCCTTCCTTCTCCTTACTTCAGGACTTGGATTAAAGATCTACTTCAGTAGGAAGATCACACGACACTGCCTGCGGAGCTTCAACTACTTCGGACGAGATAGTCTAGTTAGCGACTGGACATTTGAACTGTTCGTTGAAGTACTCCACTCACTGTACAAGCCGTTGTTCTCTACTTCGAGTTGTTTGTCCTTTTTGGATTGATTCACTAACTGGGGTTCACTTGTCGTGTTGCGTATCAGTCTTCGACTATTGCCTAACGCAACTGCTAATTCCATTTCACTGGCTGTTGTTTCCCACTATTTTCATGGTCCTTATTGAGGCTCTCCGTGATTTGGCGTTTTAGACGCCACCTACCCCTGCTNNNNTGCTTTGATCTCGGGTGGTTGGGATTTGCAGCTTTTTCTCTATCAGTTCCACCGATTTATCAGAGATCCAATGCCTCGAACGGGCTACAGCTTCAGATCCACAACCAAGCTCCGCAGTGGATTGTTCATCTAATTGGGCTCATTGTATGTTTGCTCCACCGCGCTGCGGTGCGTTTAGTTCTTGTCCTAGTTCTGATTCAAAGCGAGCCGGAAAGGCTGTCATATAAGCGACGATCTGCTAACCACATGTGGTGGGTTTTTCTGCGACCAGTGAGCTTTGATGCACAAAGTATCAAATGTCTACGGCCTTCTTTTCGGTTGCACCATCTTCCATATTCTTCACCACCGTAACGTTTTGTCACTCAAAACGTCAAAGCAAAACCAATGTATCGGCTAAAGGATTCATGTTCAGGTGCGGGCAATATAAACCCACAACTCTTATCTGATTTTATTTATATCGAATCACATTTCTGAATCATTGTTCATCCATAAAACATTCCTACAAACGAGTGATTTACGTTATTCAACCCCTTCACAAAGGTAAGTTTACTTGCGACCTGCAACCCTCCTTGTTAAAACAAGGCATTTATTCGATAATTGTATATTGCTCTACTGAACATTTAGAAAAGTCTAACATTCTTTCGCCAGCTCAGTGTGGGTTTCGACAAAAACCGATCCTGCGCTAATAAGCTGTTTAATGTCCTAGATGAAAGGAAAAGGTTCGGTTTTGTCTGTAGAACATTCGGTTATTCATTCATCTTTGTGACGAAAAGAAAACAAAAGGGTATTATGAAAGCATGCCCCGCTCTATTGTGTTTCGCTTTTAAAACTCCTTAAGCGAAACAGAGCAAATAAATTGTTCTTCTTCAGCTTGTCGCTCAACTTTTTGTTACTCTTAAACCACTGAAACCGGTATACGGTGTACTCAGAAAAGTGATATTCGCGAGGTAGAACAGTGAAATCCTGAATTGCCGATTACATTCGCTTTTGTAGCTAAACATCTAAGTATTAATCAATCGTATTGGCATGATCTATTTGCATTCAGTGACTCTAATGTGTGAGACAATTACTATGATATACAACGCAATGATCAGTAACGTGTTCGTGCTTCCGTGCTCATATGCGTTTTAGGTTTCGTTCATTTTTTGTCATCGCGCAGTGTTTTACCCTCCCCCGAAGGTCGTTGTCTCATTTTACTGAAATTTATCACCAGAGATGCCAACCGAATGATTCTATGAAGATCACCAGGTTAAAACGTAATTGCATTGTACTGTAATAGTTGTGTACTTTGAAGTGCACTAAACTGACATTATCAGATTAAAAAAATAAATCACTCATCTGTTTTCATGACTAACTGAGGGCACACTGAGGGCAAGGATTAGAGCAATACAAATTCACCGAAAGACATTGTCTTTGGGCTTTTAATACCTTGTCATATATTACACCTTTGCCGCCGCCTCATCACCATTTTGTCATGTGTGTTCACTGATCCATATTTTACCTTCTGTACTCTGTAATGCTCAATACTGCAAAGCAACGTCCTTTGAACTTACATTCTTCTAAGCGGCTTACGTCTACTTTAAATCTGGGATAAATTGGCCTCACGGATCTCACTGAATTCTTGTCTAACGGACAAAGAGCTGAAGTTGACCTTTTACGCGCTTAAACTGAGTGTCAGATGTGTACACAAACATGATTTATTTTGACTTGTGTATACCCCAGGCGCACACGATACTTCTGATCAGCTTTTGTTCTCTAATGTCTTCTTTCAATGCCATCTGCAACGTGAAGCATGTTGCTGCTTTTCGAGCATGTAAAAGTGTATTGGTTCATGCACATAGAGCTCCACATATCTCCTGTTAAACTGCGATGACTGCTTGAATAGTAAGCCGACCGAGACTTTCGTGCGTTGACTCAGAGCGAAAGAGGTGAACAGCGGACGATAAACAGAATGAGCAGTTGTTGTTTTGATTGACTATCCTTCAGAACACTGTTCATCAATCATAGCAGCTGAGCCAAATGAGAACTGAATCTTACT